TCAGATGCAAGAGTAAGTTAAAGTAGTTGCCCCTATTTTAACTTATACTTTCTTCCAGATCCTCAGTTTGTAAAAGTTAAGCCAACTTGTGTTCCTTACACATGGGTAGAGTGGGTATAAATAAGTCTAGGGGAGTTTAATTGAGTGTAAGGGAATCTGACTTATCCTTAAACTCACACAAAACTGGTAACTCCACAGCTAGATCTTCAGCCAGGGCCTGGTTGTCATGCAGAATTTTTCTAGGAAAGGGAAGGTCCATGGTCCTGGCTTGTTTGCCATCCAGGTATATAATAAGGAGGGACTGAAGAAGAACAGATGCAAACCAGGCCTGATTCAAGTCCTGTAGTACCATGCAGACTGGACCATCAGAGCATGCTGTGAGCCTGGTGGATCTTGGGGAATCCCACTTGTTTACAGTGCTGGGAAAGGTTGGCAGTAAAGGGCACCAGAAAAACTGCGTCTCTGATTTAGACAACCCGGTGACATAGCCTAGGAATGTTTCTCTCTCCCCTTCCTCTTCAGAAGATGCAGCCACCTTTTTTTCTGCAGCAGCAGAACACATGTCCAATCTACTGAGAGGTAGAAGGAAGACAGGCATGTAGGCAAGGTGCACGCCAACAGATGCAGTCTTAGGAGCCAAAAATCCAACCTGCAGGAGAATCCATCTATTTAAGAATAGAAGGTGACAAGGAACAGCCTATTAGTTGCAGACTCAGAGAGAGAAACATAAATAGAGGACTTCTGTTTCTAGTGCTCTCAATCTAGCACCTTTCAGAAAAACTTTCCAAACAACGGTCAACGTACCAAGGGATTCCAAATCCAGTTATTCCAGTTTTCATTACAAATGATGGCTGACATTTATGGAAAGGTGCAGGAGGCAGAGGAGGGCAAACAGATGAATCCCACTATGCACAATGTGTCTTTTGTAACATTCCTCTAGTATTGGCTGACTCTTTCTATTGGAGACATTAATTTAAGACTCTGAGTCAGAGCCTATTTCTAAAAAGCTGCTATGTAAATTCCAATTTACACCCTTTTATTGCAGACACATCGCAGATGCTATTATGGATAATGCCTTTGAACCAAGTAAAAATGTGTCATTTTTGTTCTGTATTTGCATACCCTCTGTGATTTCTTTGCTAAGTAAAGACAGCACATTTGTCTAACTCTTGTCTGTGTGATTTTTCACGGGATTTTATAGCTTACGTTCCTTTTTCTGACAGTCAGGTACCTTTTCCCCCCAGAAAAGTCTTAATTTTATTCATATACAAATTCTGAACACTTATGTCATGTCTGAGCATTACTGAACTTGATATACCTTGACTAGGATTACAGCCTATTTCTCTTGCCTTACAATCTTTTTTTTTCTTCTCAGGTTATCAAAAAGGATATCTGTCGAAAACGTAGGCTGTGAAATCCTGGTAATGAAAATCACCACAGATGAGCAAGACTTTTAGATGAGACACAAAATCAAGGTTCTGACCACCTGTCGTCATTAAAGATCCCATGCATTTGCTAGGGTAGGAAAGTCCTGACCAAATTCCCATGTAAGGAACTAGGGCTGGTCTACACTATAAAGTTAGGTTGGCTTAACTACATCACCCTGTGTGATGTAATTAAGCGGACTTAAGCCCCTGTTTAGACACTGCTAGGTCAACGGAAGAATTCTTCCATCGATCTAGCTACCAACTCTCAGAGAGGTGGATTTACTACAGTGACAGAAGAACCCTGTTCATCACTGTAGTAAGTGCTGCAGTTGTGCTGCTGTAGCATTTCTAGTGTAGACAGACCCTAAAATTGCAACTGTCCTTTCAAATGAACATGGTATTCTTCACTTCCTGCCTAAACTCTTGTGTAATATTACTTGTGTGTTAAACGGCTGTCATCTTTCACCCCCTCGGCAGTAGGACTTTAGTCCTGGGTGCAATGATTCTCATAGATCATGTATGTGTATGTGTATATAATATTTGGGGTCCTATTTACATGCACACTTATTAATACAGGCTTTAGCCTGTATTAACTGTTTTGCAGATCCTACTCCCTAGAGAGTCAGGGACAGGCGAAGCTGTCCCAAGCAGTATAGCCAAGTGCTGCCACTGGATATCAGGGGTTCACAGCCTTTGCATGGATAGTTCTAACTTCTCAAGGACTGCAAGGGCTCCACCAGGTTTGAGAGCACCCTTCCCGTGCAGGTGTAAGGTGGCCAATACTGAGCCCACCAGTGGGACAATTTCAGTGAAGCTCTGAAGAATTCCAAGTAAACAGTGCCCCATTTTGTGGCTTTCAACAGCAGAAGGGACAATCCCGCCCTTTATGTGCAGTCAGTATGCTCATGAAAATCATACTTGTGCCATTCACAGGGACCAGATTTTCCAGACAAAGCAGACATGGCACCAGGGAATAAAACAAATCATTCTTAAAATAAACCCCCAAACTTTCCAACAATGTCTCAAACTTCCAACAATGCAGGCCCTGGGAGTGCTTCTGCCTTAAAGGGATGGCAAGAAAGATTTGTCAATAGTTTCACCATACATGCTTTTCATACATTTAGATGCAGGGTGCCAGTCAGAATGACAAAGTTCAGTACTCCTACAAGACAGGCTGGCAGTGTGGAGATCTAAGCTGCTGGGGACTTAATGAAGTCCCCAGTGAGCCTCATTTTCACTAATGGATCTCTAAAGTGTGTAATACATGAAATATGATGGTATTTAATTGTAATAAAACATTAGAAACCTGATTGCTAAAAATGCCAATAGAAATCAAGTTGCTGTTGTAGGTTTTTTTTAACATTAAAATGTCATTGACTATCACTGGCTTGGTAACCACAGATAAAACAGAGCAGAGCGATAACTCAGTTAATGGAGCTTGTAGAGTGAGACAATTTAGAGAGACTTGATAGAACTCTGTACGTGAGGGATCCAATAAATATGTACCATAAAAAAACCAAGGAGGAGCTAACACGGGAGAATCTGAATAGCAGATTTGAAACTCTAAGTCCCTTTTGTATTAAAAACAAATCTTTATTTTATAATACAGTTCTACTCTGAAAAGAGACTATATTAAAATGGCATCTTCTGACGCCTTAGATTGGCTTTGTGATTGTGTTCAAAAACTTGAGAGACAAAAATGTTTTCACCATTTTTCTCCTGTTTGTCCTGCAGAACCAACACGTCTAGAAGAGAGGGAGGTCAGGGATATAGCAATGAGGGAACAATGGGGGTGTCACACACCTCCAATTAAACATTTGGTGACACATCGACAGGGCCGGCTCCAGGGTTTTGGCCGCCCCAAGCAGCCAAAAAAAAAAAAAAAAAAAA